TCCAACTTGTGGGAGGGGTTGCGCACCAGCTGAGACAGCCTGTGCCCAGCACCGAGCCGGAACTGAGGGCACAGGTGCATCATTCCTTACCCTGCAGAGCCGTGTGCTCGGCCCTGTCACGGGGCACACAGAGTGCGGGATGTGGGGCTGCGCTGGCTCCGCACCAGCAAGCATCAGGCTGCAATGGGCGACCCCTGTGCCGCCTGCATGGCCCAGGTCAGTGTGCGGCAGGCTCCAGGCACAGGCCACCAGAGCGTGCAGATGGGATGCTTAGAGCCTGGCCTCCACTCTGTGCATGCATGCACATGCACGCTGTTGCAACACGATGCTCCGCTGCCCAGTACACACGGACATTCAAGCCCACCAAGGTACTTGCCCACACAGGTGCCAGCTCTGGTGTGTGACAGAACAGCCAGGTGTCCATGCCTGTAACTCATGGGAGCAGGTCAGAGACCACAGCTCCACGGAGCCACAGAGGTGCCTGGTTGTGGAGAGCCCCGGCAGGCGAGGGTGCCCCCAAGGTCAGGCCAGCAATCCCGTGCCCTTCCCTCGCGGGCAAGCCGTGAGCTGCTTTGACGTCAGCCAGCCCGAGTGCCAGGGTCCTGCTCTCCAATTACCCATGGGAGCGGGGCAGGCGGGGGCTGGGCCTGCCCTGCAATTTCCAGCCGCGCACAGCGCCTGGGACACGCCGCACTAGGGAACCCACGGCAGATTACAGGGCAGAGTAAAACCCAAATCTAAACAGGCCCACGGCCTGCGGTTCACCCCAAGCCCCGACAGACAAGCTGGGCAGAGCAGGCCGCCGGCAGCGCGGATGAAAGTCGCTCACCTCCCAGGCCAGGCTGAAACCTGCACGTGTCGGGGGCAATGCTGGCGCGTGCGTGCAGGTGCGAGTGAACACCCGCGGAGCAAGGCAAGCCCGTGCCACTGTCTGCGCGCTCAGGGGAGTGCGGCAGGAGGCGCCGGCGGGGAGCAAGCCGATGGCTGTGTATCCAGCTTGCCCACACCTCCTCTTGGCCCTGCCAGGAGCAGCCTCCCTCCACACAGCGGTGGGGCTGTGTGCGGGGCACAGAGGGGCGCAGCGAGGAGCAGAGCATGCCCCACCAGCCCTGCAGGGTTCTGGTTGCATAAAATGTGCTGGGCCGTGAGAAAGGAGAAGTGAAAGTGAGAAACATGAGGCTGCTCCCCCGGGCCCAGCTGGCCAGCAAGCTGCCTCCGCCCCAGGAGATGGCCCTGGGCCTCTGCCCAGCAGCCACCCACCCGGGAGTGCAGGAAGTGGAGGGAAGGCCTGGCACCAGCTTCCCTCTTGGAGCGGACCTTGCTGCGTGGCAGAGGCAGGCTCTGGCGATTGGCATCCGCTTTGCAGGGCAATGGGACGGTGCCCAAGGGGCGAATGGGGTGCTGTGCTCCATCCCAGCTGCCCCTCAGCTCCCCATCCCAGCTCCCCTTGTCCTGAGCCCCCCAGCGTCTCCCAGGGTGCACTCGCGCCCTCCTCGCTGCCCCCACACAGCAGCTCCAGCACCTCCTCTGCATCCACAACCCTCCACAAGCCAGCCCGCAGCCCCAGAGCAGCCCCTCAGAGGGAGGGAAACCCCTGCCACAGGTCACCTCTGGGGCAGCTCAGGCCTCATGGCAGCTACAGAGGAAAGGGACCCCTGGCTCCCCAGCTGCCCGGCACCCTGCCCCTGCCCTGCCCTGCCAACAAACCGCAAGTGCACCTGCTGCTGGGCCTGGGAGGCCGCGGAGGGCAGAGAAGAGCCCCGCTGGAGCAGGGACTTTTGGGGGCCTCACCGACGCTGCCTGCCCCGGCGTCTGCGGTACAGGCCGAGCAGCCGGAGGCGCCGCGGCGGAGGCCCCTTTCATGCAAAGCACCTGAAACAGGCAAAGCAGCCCCGTGATTAATTGTCCGGGCTGCAGAGGCTGAGCACGTGGCAGAGGCGGCGGATGCCCCGGGGCAGCGGTGGGGAGGCAGGACACGGCGCTTGCAGTGGGGCGGCCCTGAACCGCGGGGGGAGCGGCAGGTGGTGGCCCCGGCGCGGGGCGGGGGAGTGGACAAGCAGGCTGGGCAGGTGGCAATCGGC